GGAAATTCCTCAACCATCCTCCGTCCCCAACGGGATTGGAGAATCGTCAAAATCTCCTCCGACCGCATCAAAACCGTCGGAGAACGCTGCACCCAAAGCAGCGCCAAAATTAACGTCGCAGCCCAAAGCCGCCACGAAAGCAGAGTGTCCCCTCGAGCTCCGAACAATAGTCGAAGCTGAACAACGACGCGCCGCCGAAACAGCGGCAAATCTGGCCCTCTACTCCGCCGCCATCTCTGGCGTCGAAGCAACCCTACTCCCTTTGACCAACGGGTCAAACAGACAATCCGTAGACTCGATGAGAGTCTACTTACGCGCAGCTATTGCGCAATACATAGCCTCGGGCTCGGCCACTACGCCGTCCGTTCTCCCTCTCCGCCCGGCGAACCCTCCTTCGAGAACTCACGAAGCCAGGAGCTAAACAATACCCGCGATCTCATTGCTACCCTTTAAATTCACCTGGGCCACGGTGGCCAAAAACAGACTGCGTCAAAAAGCAGTCTTAACTATAAATTCTATGCAGCAACCTGCGGTCACGGCCCCGAAAAAAGGCGTTCCGAAGCCGAAAGTCGATAAGCGACTGTTCCTTCGCCTTGAAAAGGACCACCCGTGGCGAAGAATGTCCGCCAATAGCGTGAGAATTAATTTGGAATCTACATTCCTTTACTATCACGATAAAATAACCTCGCTCCATCGATTGAAGACCAGCTTTGCTTTGCTCGCAAAGAACGAAACCATACGACAAGAGATGTTAGATGCCTCTTCGGAGATGACGCGTGTCAACGTTTAAATCGAAGCAGCTTCAGATTTTGTAGCCTTACAGATACCGAACGTACCTGTAAGCATAGTCACAGAGCGCGGCCCCATGGCGATGGATGCTGATTAGGTCTTCGCCCAAATCGGCGTTACGACCGGCGTATTTTTAATCCAAGGTCCGACCTCATGGGACGTGCCGGCCAGGAGCGCCTTGTCGCAACTGGCATGCCCTCTTCGACCGGAACTCCGCCTCTTCGACGAATCTGGTATGGCAACCATACACAAACCTCGTCGACCAATTGAACAGTGCAAACGCTGTTTGGGCTTCCACGCCACCCGTGGTTGCTCCCGCGCTCCAGCCTGCTGGAACCGCGGATCCAACATGCACTCGGAAGCCGAGTGCAAGGCCCTCACTAAGTGTCGCAACTGTGGGGGACCCACCGATCGGATTCTCGGGCCTGCCAAGTCAGACCCAAAAAATCCGGACCGGTGACCAAAGAGCAGCTCGCGTGGATCCGCCGCGTCGAACAAGGGGAGTTCGCGAAGGTGGCACGAGCTCGAGCAGCAGCCAAAAGGGCCGAGGCAACAGGTTTCGGAGCTCAGGGATCTGAAGAAGTAGTTTGAGGACACAGCAACCTCGACAATGTTCCCTTTTGGGGCATCTACTAACCAATAGCAGGATACCGGCTGGATCTAAGGTGCCTGCTAACTCATCTCTTGCTCTCAGCGGAGAATAAGTAAATTTGTCATTTGGAAGGTGTGACGGACGACGGAATTGTGAGGAGCACATTGCTTGGGTCCAATGTGGAGGAATCTTCAGGTTTTCGGTGTTGTTTTGATTTTCTCGATTTTTCGTCTCAGTTTAAACAGCTGCACTTTTGGTAGCGATTCATGAGGTTGGAACGAGTTAGGCAGTAGGAAAAGTTACAGGGAACCCTGCCGGCTCCGCCGGTCCTTGACCCAAAGTGGAAAATATAGCTATTGTTAGAATTTAGAATAATTGGGGCTATCAAGTAGGCCACGTTGTTGGTACACACGTGACTACAAATTCTGTACTTAGTTTCACTTCGGTGGTTACTTGAATCAATGCGCTCTACGACCTCAATGACTGAGGTGTCATTATTTCCTTAATAGCTTTAGCTTAGGACCAAAAGTATAAAAAAAAATGTGTCAAAGCTAGATGTTACAGGCTGTAGCCTTGTACAGTCAAAACCCTGTTAAGACGATGTAATCAGGGCCGTGAAAAATATCGTCTTGTAGGGGATATCGTTGCTCCACGGAAATTCCCTTCTATGATGGCATTTTTAGCATCAGTCTGGCAAATAAACCCTGGTCAAGACGATATTCAGAGGTTGAAGAACTATAATCGTGTAATCGGTAAATGTATGGGAACGAAGTCCGTTCTGGAAAAAAATATCGTCTTAACGAGGATCGTCTTAACAGGGGTCTGACTGTATGTGGATCCGGAACTATCCGACCCCGGCTATGAACAAAAACGCGCTCGATTGAAACAAAACATCTTGTGCGCGCGTCGTAGATATTCTCCTCCTTGGAAAAAATAGAAATTCATTTTTGGACCCAGAATTGTGAACAGCAAATGTGAAGATCCTTCACACGAGATGGCTGTAGACAGAATTAAAATCTGATGCAAAAAAAATGTGGCACAGTGATGTCTAGACACCGGGAACAAGATAGTACACATAATCTACCTTCTACCCTCCAAATACAGTTTAGGTTGCTAGCCAAGCTAAATCATAGTCCTACCGTGGCAGTATCGAGGATAGAGAGAATGGCTTATGGATGAGAGGTATGCTACATTAAAGATGACAAAGGAGGGATTACGGGTGACTAAACAAGCCCACTTGTGAAGAAACCATCACTGCACAAGGAGGAGATGCCGGGACAATGCATGACAGGTTCAGTGTCATAGCTAGTTAGGATGCATACACTTAATGAATAAAAAAAAATATATATATATATATATATAAAAATGCATGACAGGATCCCAAAGGAATGGACGAAATAGAATCTTGAGAATCTTTGAGACATTGGGGCATGGTGCATGAGGCTGAAGGTGAATATGCGCTTCAGCGCGCTAAGATTGGGTTCTCAATACATGAGTGACGGGTGTAGGGTAACGGTCGATCAAGTGAGACGGGGTTGTGTGTGAGCATGGTAGTTAACCTGATCCAGCCTGATTCCACCCGTGCTCAAGCTCTCATATTAGTGGGGAGGTTGCCAATTGTCCAACCACGGAACACGCACACAATAACAGCTAGAAGTGAGTAGTGCATCGTGTCGGGTTAAATGGAATCGATATAATGTGATATCATGAAGCGTGAGACTGAGGCAAAAATGATTTTCGTGATGCACGCCTACCAATAAGTTTAGAGCCACGGGCTACCTTAGCGTAGTGCTCCACTCATGAAAAGATCCAAGTTTTCTAGGCACACTCCCCGCATTGTATGAGCCAATCAACAGCGTACAGCGAGCTAGGTCGGAATTCCATCTAACCGGGACCCACAACTGGTCTGATTAATCCTCGCTACATGTCATTCACTTTCAACCTAACTTAGGCCCTGTTCTCCACACCCTGACTAGATCTAGAGCGTGGTTAGTATGAGGCAATATTGAGATTAAACCACAACACGTCGCATTTTTAATCTTGATGAGGAAGTTATGTCGAAAATTTTGAAACCCAAATTTGTCTGTCGTGAATACAAATGTCTAGGGATCGCCAGACAAAACCGCCAAGCGACAAGGACGTTAAGCCAGTAGTGGTTGTTATCTATGCTTTTCCGTGTTCGATATTAGTAACGAAGCATCTTGAACTTCAATGATGGGGGAGACGTGGCCAACAACTGACGGCAATGAGTAGGGGTCGGTTCCAAGTGCGAATTTCAAGTTAAACCAATTTGCTGATGAGTTAAAAGCACTCGTGTACTAGCTCATCTAAATAAAATCTTCACATCCAGTTTAGCCACTAATGCTCATCAATGGTCTAGGAACTGTAATTGGCTAGAACATGATCATCTGTTCCATCTTACAGCATCCGTGTAAAAACAGAGCGAGTGTTGCTCTACTCACAAGTTGTGATAGAATTGAATAAATTTATGAACAAGGCACAGTCTCCAACTTCTGTTCGCGATGTCGCGTGACATGGAAATCGGCTCCCGATCCTAGAAGTTCGGATGTTACATGTTGAGACATTATTAACTTTCGTCATATCGCACGGCCCCTGGTGCCTGAGGATCTTCGCATTGCAAGATAGGTTAAGTTGGTGGGCCTGAAGTAAAATGAGCTTTCGTTGAGCCGCTCCGCAACAAAACTTTCACAAATTTTCATCTACAATCCTGGAGAGAATAAGCATGATCTTAATATGTAATTTAAGTCTTCAGGATCAACAGCTTACAGCGATCCCTCCCGACATATAGTGCTATGAAGGTTGGTGCGTCTGTCCAAGCTGCGCCCGTCGACAAATCCTGGTTGCGCTTGAAACGGCGATGACGAAGCGACAGAATTGAGTGGGCCATGGTCCTTTCGGGGTTGACGCCAGCTTCCCCAGAGTCTGCGTCCAGAATGGCTCGCCAAAAATGTGCAGCATAAAATTCCAAGTAGTTTTATCCGACTGGATTTCCGGAAAACATTTAAATTTCGTCGTCACCTAATGAGACTATGCGTAGAGAGCGGTTTGTGGATCCGCGGCACACAATATCATAAAGAAGGCTGCAACCGATTCAGTCAGTAAATTTTCGGTAACATCACACACATTAATGACAGTTCTGTCCAACAGAGGCATGCCTTCAAATTCCCAAACCCTATGATGTGTTTTTAATAATTATAATACATATACGCTATTCGAGTACGAAGATTTCCTGTCAACTTATGCTCTATCAAGACCCTGGCTACTAGATTGTAGATTAGCCCCAACGCTATCTATCCCATGGACAGGGCGAGACTAAGGCTGACTAACGACAGCCGCAACTCGGTCCTTCGAATTTCAATTAAAAAAGGAGGTTTTGCAATTTGGTATGGTGGGGAAAAGGGGTACTAACCAATATATATGAAATCCTCTCCATCTTCGACAGCATCTTACGCCGAAGCCTAGTTCTTCAGCGTTTTTGTCTACCTCAGTCGTTATCTAATACACATAGTCTCTCGTTTTGTGCCTTTCCGTCATTCTCTTAATTGGCCGAAAGGAATCATCAACCTCCGGCCATAATATCCATTTCTCTCCTTCAAAAATGTATTATTTTTCTCTTCTAGCTGCAGCGACATTTATAGTTCTTTCCGTACAAACATGTGCAAGCCCTCATTTTTATCCTAGCCAGAGACAAGACGGAACAGACAAAAATCAGGCAAGAGCAAACGCCGTCAAGGAAGCTTTTTCACACGCATGGGACGGATACTACCAATATGCTGCTCCAAACGATGAGCTGCATCCAGTCACCAATAATTTCAGCAATTCACGGTCAATAATTAATATTCTACATGCAAAAATTGTTCCAAAGTACTAATGTCACGCAGGAACGGATGGGCTGCTAGTGCCGTGGACGCTTTGAGTACTGCAATTCTTATGCAAGAATCGGAAGTAGTCGATCAAATTTTATCACTCGTTCCAACTATTGATTTTGACCATACGGACACTGATGTCTCTCTCTTTGAGACTACCATAAGGTATTTGGGTGGTTTACTGTCGGGTCTGTAAATCTACTCGAGAGAATTTACATCATACTCACACTTCCAGGATATGATCTCTTGTCTGGACCCCTGTCAAATCTTGCATCTAATAAGACTGCAGTCGACCAAGTATTAAAACAAGCGATTCGTCTTGCTGACAACCTTGCCTACGCGTTTGATACGCCCACAGGAATTCCAAGTAATAATCTAATATTTGCTAATAAATCTACCGATGGATCGACAAACAACGGCTTAGCTACAGCCGGCACTCTTGTTCTTGAATGGACACATCTATCTGATTTGACTGGAAACCAAACCTACGCAGAACTATCCCAAAAAGGAGAGTCTTATCTTCTTAATCCTAAACCTGCAACATCAGAGCCATGGCCTGGTCTAGTAGGCTACAGCATTAACATCCAGACTGGCCTCTTTGAGGATGCCAGTGGCGGTTGGTCGGGAGGAACTGACAGTTTCTACGAGTATCTCATCAAGATGTATGCTTATGATCCATCTAGATTTGAAACCTACAAGGACCGTTGGGTTCTTGCTGCCGACTCATCCATTGCTCATCTCGCTAGTCATCCATCTAGCAGACCCGATCTCACCTTTATGGCAGAGTATATGGGCACCAATTTACTTTTTGAATCACAGCACCGTAATTATTCTCTGAAATATTGTAGAGTACCGCACTGACGTGTTAATAAGTTACATGCTTCGATGGTGGCTCATTTATCCTCGGGGGTTTAATCTTGAAGGAACAAAAATACGTTGACTTCGGTCTTGAGCTTACCAATGGATGTCATAATACCTACACAAGCACTCAAACCGGAATAGGACCTGAGATATTTCGCTGGATCACAAATGACACTGCAGTCAATGAAACGGCAAACCCGCTGCCCCCTCCAAGCCAAAAGGAGTTTTACGATAAGAATGGCTTTTACATCACGAATAGCTACTATGCTCTTCGCCCTGAAGTAATTGAGAGTTATTATTATTCTTATCGTGCGACCAAGGATGAAAAATATCGCGAATGGGCTTGGGACGCATTTGTAGCAATAAATTCCACTTGTCGGACTGGATCTGGTTTTGCAGAACTAAAGGACGTAAATGCTAAGGATGGTGGTGGGTATGGCGATTTTCAAGATAGTTTCTGGTTTGCCGAAGTTCTCAAGTATAGCTATCTTATTTTTGCGCCCGATGATGAGTGGCAGGTTGAGCATGAGGGTGTGAACCATTGGGTATTTAATACGGAAGCCCACCCAATACCAGTAGCCGGGAAACCTGTTTAGAGGACGTAATATAGTAAAGAAGAATTTAGCTCAAACTTTCTTTCGTTACTATACGGGGCGAAATCTCGAAATCTCGATACCAGTGATATAAATTTATTACCCAAAAATCCAGGTCGTTAACGTGCAAGCGGCTAGAAACTTGCTGTCTGTAGCAGAAGTCTATATTTACTAGTTCTTATCCCCAAGCGCAGTGAAACTCGATTGCCCTCAGGCTTTGCATTGTAGAAAAGGAAGAACATGGCACAATCAGGATACCATGATGTGAAGGTTTATCATATTTTAATCTAACTATCGTGTTTGAGCGGTCAAATATTGGAGAGAGTTCTTGCCTGGTGAGGTAAGTAATTGAGACTTTGAGGATACTATTTGTAATATGAAGATGAATCTATCTTTGAATTGATGTTCTTCATTTTCTTTGCAGCTACTACCTGTCCGACGGAGAACACTCCTATTTATACACATAGCTCATCCATCTTCTTGTTAGTAGAAGATTCCATCCTATGGTGTAGAATATTCTACATTTTTCCCTATCCCATCCCCTTACAACTCTCCGTGATGTGATGACACTAACTGTTCGGACTAAATCCTGATGAGCGATTTCGAGCTTAATTGTGCTATGTTACAGGCTACTGTTCCAATTATTCACGGAGTCATCATCAGGGTTATGGGTAGTTTCGGTTTGGTGTGGGTTATTAGATTGATACCTGAGCGTATCGCATAGTAGTCAGACATGCGACTCGAGTAGCATTTGCACGGTAAACCTCAACCCCAAAATGATGATAGAAATCATGTTTTATATGCTACATCCTGTGTGGCTAGCGTGGATTGAAGATGGGAGATTTACCAGTAGATAAATAAAGACGTTATGGCCCTCTGATAGTTGGGATAATTCTTCTATCAAATTATATCGGAATCAATCCTATTAAAGGAAGATATGGTTAGAAAGCTATACTGCTGGTAAACCCCTTAAGCTTGCCGGCAAAGACGAATTTTTCACCTTCCAGTGGTGCCAGTGTAGTCGCTCAGTATGCTCTGCATATCTGGGATAGCCAAGAAGAATCGCATCCGAATCGAAGTCGAAAGCAAACACATGCATATCTCCATTTGACGACTTCTCAACCATGCAGCACTCGACATTATCTTCTGAGTCCTCAACCTCCATCTAGCCATTTATCATCTCGCCTCGCCGACCAATAAAGGCGTCACCCCAATTGCAAATAGGAGCTTGCCTCATTCATCACCGGCCATCACTCACTACAAACTTACGACGCTACGTATACCCGCAAGAAGGAAATCAAGTCATAATATACAAAGTTGGGGTCTTAGTTTATGGGGGTCTGCTGCTCTAATGGGGTTATACATCTTGAGGAAGACAGGCGGCCGATATGTGGAGCGAGAGGGGAAAGAGGTGTTTGCAGATCGTGCTGGGACTGACATTTTCGGGTGGTTTTCAAATTTGGAACGTTTGTGCGCGCCAATACCGAGATTTCGGCTATTTAGCCAGGAGGGCTTCTTTCGTCGATGATTCAACGGCACTCCCCAGCGCCCTGGACGGTATAAAAGAAGATAGGCTAAGCTACTAAACAGCAATCACGCTCTGTCAAGACTTTTCTGAAATTTCAGGGCGACCTTCGGGAAGGAGTTGGAAGGAGGCTAGAAAGGCAGAGTGTGAATTCTCAGAGGTACCCACAAGTCCGCAGCGCCCAGCTGGCCGGCCTCTTCGAACGCTTCAGATCCATCACTATGTCTTCGGATTTAGTCCTAATGTCGGTGCTAGAAAAGCTCCTCACCCAGTAGTTTTTGCGATTTTTCCCGGCTGCCATACACCTGCAAATGGCCATCGTTTCGTTGGCTGGAAAGAGGAGATAATGAAGGGCAAAGGGCTCCTCTAAGTGTATGATCGAATGAGGACTTGTGAGGGGTTGTACTATTTGAGGGGAGCTGTATGGGAGGCATAGGAGGGGATATGTTACTGGTATAGGTATCATTGGCCTGTAGGCAGAGAGGACCTGCATGTCCTACATGGTCATAGACTCGGACAGGACAATAAATTGAATCAATAAAAAAATTAGGCAATCTCATGAATCTATTTCCGTGTCTGTGATAACAGACCATTGCAAAAAGTCGACATCATGCTTAGAGTCGATAACGAACCATACCTTGTATGAGTCTGCAGATCATCTACCGCAGCTTATATGATTTGCTAAGAGAATTCACATCATAACACTAATAAAAACATATTAGTAGCCAGATAGTTACGGCCTCGCCTCAACCTGGCCCTAGGTACAATAGCGTGAGTACATGTGGTACGTGCACGTTAGCATATAGTCCCTGTCCGCCTCTAGATATTCTATCCTCATAGCCTATCTACTTCTTTCATCTCTACCTTAGAGCTGCCTTCCTGCCACTTCCTCTTCTCGTGATTCAGATTGATCATAATTTGATCCAACTTTAATACAATCCTCTGTTTTCCAAATGAGAGAACCATACAGCGGAATGAGAAAATACAAGGATGGGGCAGGACTGAGGCGTCTGAGAGCACATTTCTTGATATTATTAGTATTATTTAATAAGGAAATAATGACGCCTCAGTCATTGAGGTTGTAGAGCGCATTGATTCAAGTAACTAACAAAGTGAAAGTAAGTACAGAATTTGTAGTTACGTGTGTATCAACAACGTGGCCTACTTGATAGCCCCAATGATTCTAAATTCTAACGTTATTAATTATTAATTAGTCTCATTGTCTCCGAAACTTGGAGAGCAGCCACATTTTACCAAAGTAGAGAGTCCGGACGGCAAAGACTGAGTTTTCAAGGCTCACCATTCTTCCTACACCGTAACCTGACAAGGGCCCAAAGCAGTTTGGCAATGCAAATACGAAGTGAGCACATGGGGCTTAACTCGTATTTACACAGAAGAAACGTACCCGGAATATTAAGTCCAGGTTGTCCATGCGGCTACCAATCACAGAACCCAAAGCACATGATTATGTCCTGCCCCCAATGGTCAAATGGTAGAGCTGAGATCTAGAGACAAGCCAAAGATCGATCCTACGAAGCGATGATAAACAATCCTGGAGATATAAAAAGGATAACATAGTGGATCCTAAACCATGCTTGGATAGAGCAATTCCAGATGACAAAAGCGGTCGAAATACTGCTGAGGGAAAGGAAAAGGTCAAACAGTGCTGGGGGAGGATAGAGATGATCTGGTTAGTTTACATGAATGGCACTATAGTGTAACTGCGCTTCCTGAAGAAAATATGTGAGGACTATAGACAACAAATAGAAAGGTGTGGGAGGTTTTCACCATAAAGGTTTCCTCCCGGGTAAATATTATAGACTGTAGACACCTGCATGGGCCCATAGGGCGCCAAATCAGGATAATGAAATCAAAATCAAAGTCTCATTGTCGTTTCTAAGTCTATGGCTAAGTAGGACATACAGTACCTTTATTGGTAAATTGATTTAATTTTATTAATATATTTTGGTCCAATGGTTTTTGAGGTTAATGTAACCTCGGGATGGGAGATGCACACACAAAAGCACATGCCACTTGATTAGTCCCCATCTAGGGAAAAACGACGATAACACTCGTTAGCAGGGCTGGGCTTGAAGCGGGAAGCTCACGGCGACGCTGGCTGTGATGACAGAAACCCCACAGGAAATAGGCCCTCAGCTACTCTGTTTGCCGATACAGCTTAGGGGTTTTACCAAGATTACTGTGGAAGCTCGAAGGTGTAAATCTATAGTTCGTCTGAAGTCTGTCGCTTGCAATTTGATTTAATACCCTAATCATCCTGTTATAACTTTTAGGTTTTGAATCTACCTACTAAACGACCGGCATGGGTCGGGCGAAACGAAAGGAAGGATAATTAAAGTCATGGATTATGGCCCTCTGCGCCCAAGTATTTATGCTGAGGCACTCATACTAAGAAGAGAGTTGCACTACAGCATAACATGGTTATGTTTTACGTATTGAGTCAACGACTTGAAGCATAGTGTAGGTCCTTTGTGCCAGCCGTGGCTCCGAGTAGGTGCTCATGCAAGGTCATAGTCAGGACACGATTAATTCGCCACAGTTCCACTAAAATCACCCACGGGGTCTATTCTCAACACCTGTCATTGGTGTCCCCTACGAACCTCCAGCTCTCACTACAGAGTATGCAGAGCCGAGATTGAGCATCACTGTCCTCACTTCGATGAGAATTCCCAATCGCTTCCGCAGTCTGTATCATCTTCATCTCTCAACACATTCTCCTATCACCATTATAATGAAGCTGAACACGGTCAGATCAGATGGTAGGGTCGGAGCTCTACTCATCACCAAACCTTGATCATGGAGGAAAAGCCACCCGATGAGTTTCCGGAGCGTACCCAGCACCCGATACGGAGATGGTGGATTGGATTTAGTCGGCCTCGACTGTTACAAAGAAGGAAGATATAGATGAATATGCGTGTTACGGGTTTACCCGCTACTGGTTGTCTTAGCTGACCTAGGGGTCGAGCCTTGCATTGAAGTGGGATGTCGCAGATGGGTCTTGCTCTATCACCAAGTAAGACGCTTGATAATCGCGTATGTGAGGTGGTCATCAGCATACACCTTAACTTGGCTCAATCCCACTGAAGTGATATCTCTAAAACGAACTTGGGAGCAAATTATTATCAAAGGGCCAAGTTCAGTCAAATTTCGCAATACCAAAGAAGTTGGCCCATGTCAGGCGCAGGTTCACTGGGCGCAAGACTCGAGGCGTAGGAGAGGGCGTAGCGTACAAGGTACCGAGGAAGGACGCCTCGCGGGAACGCGGAGGGCTTTCTAGAGAAGTGATAGGGGGAAAAGCGGGGAGTCGTTCTAGATAAAGTGGCCGGAGGTGACGGTAAGTCGCTGTGATTGCCAGAGGACGAGAGTGAGGTGTGATTATAATTGTGTAACTATTCCTAGTGACAGAAAACAAAGCATGAAGATCTCGATCGCGGAAATGAAAACTACATAACTGTCCTCGCTAGGCAATAAAGCCTGGTGGGAGTGCATGCGACACTATAAACACCGCTCTGGTTGGATGGTGCGGTGGTACATCGTCTTGGCCGGTCTGCCAAGTAAACTCTGGATAGCTTGGATCTATATCCCGCTCGAGACAGTAGACCGCTGGTTCAAATCCGGCAAAACACAACCACATTTCTCGCGGCGCTGGTATGCATGGGTGACGAAGGAATGCTTTGATAACCAATTGTTTTTAAATTCCCTTTGGTGGGTACTCGCGGAGGAGAGTCAACTGTTCTGTCTAAGCAAACACACCTCAGTGTTATTTACAAATGAACCTTAGACTATGAGTGTCTCTAACGTCAAAAGAGTTATCTCACATGTAAATAAAACACCTGTCGTATGTCATAGCTAGATAGTTGAACACACGTTAGATAATTTGAAAAGAAGTTGTACAAGGTGTGGTCTGGGTTAGAGAACATGTAAAGGTTTAATTAATTTAAATGTACTTGAAAGACAATAATTCGATAGAAATTAATTACTTCTTCCTTGGGAACACAATCTACCACTTAGTCTTCTATCCCCTATATCCTCTGTATAAACTAGTAATAACTCCCCACCTCGGCCAACTGAGAGTCATCCTTTCTCCCCGGCTCACCTCTTCTTCTGTACAATACTCCCCATCTAGTATGTACCCCACATAATACCTCCTTATGCGCCCCATTCGCATATCTAGAAGCGCTGCACTGCCACAGCCTAGCCTCGAAGACGGAGCGGTCCTAGTGACCAGTCCTGATCCGGGCAAATCCCGTCACAGCTGAAACTCTCCACAGGCTGGTACAGTGAGTCAATGCAAGCTGGTAAATTTCTGAGATATATTAGGTACTCAAAGTGTGCACTATTCCCGGACGAAAGAAGTTGACTAAATGAGTATTGTGTCCAGATTCTTGCCAGAGGAGTGGGAATTATGCACTATTGGTACAATTATAAGCGAGATAGAGCACAAGCTCCGTCATTGCTACAAAGCTGAATCCAATATGATTTAAAAAATAAGCCTAAGCCACAACATAAAAGATTGAGGCGTCATATAGGTATAGAAATCACTTATTATATTCCTTATGCATACACCGTACAGTCAGTCAGACATCTCTAAGGAGCCCGAGCCGTTGCTTTATTCTACACTCCAAAACCTATATTAAACATAAGATTGTGTCGGAAACCTAAATGAAATGAATGGCCTATAAGTCTAGGGCACTTTTTTTCTCCAACCGCCGGAAATTTTTACTCAAAGTGGTATATTTTCGAAATAATTGCGTATACTGGCTTTGATTTTTTATTTATATTACCTTACGGATGTCCGTGAAACTAAGGGCTTGATTATGGACTGTTGTGGATGGAGAAGAGTTTGTTTATGTTTCCCTACGCTGTACAGGTAAAGATCGTTGATTTAAAGACAAAATCGGTCAAGTATTGATAGTGCAGACTTTTTATTTAGTCCAACGATTTTTATTTACCGATGATTCGTTTAATTCCGAAACCGAAGTCCTTTTAGCAACGCTCGGGAGCAAAGCCTAGGAAATTATGTAGTAGATCTGAGGGCACGTCACTATTGACTTGGACCGAAAAAACAATATCAAACGCCTCATCAGCATAATAAATAATTATGATACTACGCTACACACATTTGTGGTGGCTTAGCATGTCGTCGGTTCAAGCCGCTAGCTTGATAATAAACTGGGGCGCTTGGGAGAAATGGCTAGCTTCATTGCGTAAAGTTGCTCCAACGTCCCATATATTTGTATTCCGATACTGTACGACAACTCATGCCTTTCAAGAAATTTTCGTGTTCCGTTCACAAAATCAGTACCACACGTGCTTATAACAACCCGAAAATCTTGCAGCACCTCGTCCTTCTCACTTATCAGTTACTTCCGATAGCCCCACAAGAAATCGCTTAGGTACTACGTACTTTGTTAATGTAATAAACACCTTGTGACTAGAATACGAATCATCTCATTATTGATGGGTTAAACTATCAAATTATCTCCTGGACAAACCAGAACCTCGATGGCTAATTGGTAGTGGGAGGATTGTATGTGAAATTATTCTTGGAGCAACTGGAGCAATGAAATCGACTATTTTTTCAATCAGAGGAAAAGAAAGAACGAGAAAAAATAAATATTCTATCGATCGGAAGTATAGACGGAGGAATAGCAGCGCTAAAATTTGCACAGCAACTGACATGTGGCGTGTGGACGGCAAGATATCTATTGTTCAACACACTCACATTGACTCACATGTATCTTTGAATTCTCCACTACTCTTTGAATTATCATTGTGGTACGAAATCTACCAGCTAGTCCAGTTGTGTCCAGCCAATTCAGCCTCAAAATATGCTAAAATATTCCTAAATAAAATTAGTAATATTCTAGGAAGAAGTTGACCAAAATCGAAACTCTAACGTTATCTTCATACCAAATAAGAATAGATGTTAGACTAATACAGGCCTTTAAGATAATAGAAGGCAAAGGGTGGATTTGTTCCTCGATTGATAACGCTGAGCGTTCGACTCCATTTGATCTCTGGAGTTTCTTGATGAATTTCCGGGATCATTTGCGGCTCACTCAAAGTTTAACCTTTTCTTTGTAATAATATTGACTACTTACGTTATCTCGAACAATTTCTATTAGAGATAAAAGGTGGAATAGCTGATAAACTTGGGCATCTTCTACTTTCCCACAACGTTATTCACATCTTTTCCTGACGCCTATTTGCTGAAAAAGATAGTAATAGGTCACAACTAAATAAAAATTGCTCAAGTAGCCCATTGAGGCAGGCCGTACGCTTTATACCAGGAGGGGGTTGATTTGGGTATTAAATTTAAGAGAATCATCAATAAATGTTTATTTGCACCTTTCGCGGATGATGTTACCTCTTTGAAATCGGCAAAGTAGCCCAAAAACCAGATTTATGTGTCTGGATTCTGTATTTGAAAAAAATAATGGTCAACTAGTCTTTATTGATTTAGAATATTGAGTTCATTTGTACGGCGGTATAATCCATATTACCCTCTGATTAAGTGATGTCTCACAACAAGCTGTACTTCTCCCGATGTCCCACAATCTTCTATACGCTATCTTTTTTAGTGTTAATATCTCTCACCCAATTATTCCACAAATTTCTCATTCCATGAAGTTTTGATTGTCCTGCTTACCTCAAGCCTCTTTTCTAGTCCTATGTACACAGACGACTCTTTATACTAAAGAAATTTCATAAATTCTCTGCAATTTACTCATGTGCTAAATAATGGCTCTAATAACTGGAATTCATGCAGAAAATAAGCATGATTTGCTTCAGAACTGGTGGCAGATCGTGAGTAATTATAAAGCGAGGCAAATCCTGATCTCTGACTCAGATTAGACTTTAGTTGGCTGCATTTCTCTTGCAGTTGGCTTAGGAATAGCATACATTTTATACTTATCGATTATTGCGTTTAAAAAGTTTGTGTTTGTAAGTAATTCAGCTAGATCTATTGGCCGTTTCGAAGTCATAATTTTACTGACTGCCGAGGCGTAAATCGCAAAACTTTATCATTAACCATACACAGAGATATAAATCGCTTTCAAAAGCTGTTCTACCAAGTGATATAAAATGTATTTCACAAGTATCGGCCAATCTTTATCCGTATCGAATAAGCAAGCCTTCAAGGAAGCCACAGAGTTTTGGCGTCTATTTAAGTAAATTTGAAAGGCCTCCCACTTCTCGTCAAATACAAATTCTTTCAGAATGGGACCTTCTTATTTTTGACCCTTCTCAGGATGGAATCATTGAAGCAATGTCTTCAGGACTTTATCGTATCTCATCTCAAGCCCTAGCTCGACTTGACATAGGTCTTGAGATAGAGAATAGCTGTCAAACTCAAATAATAGCACTTACAGAATGGGTTACAAAATATTTTAGACCTTTAGAAGGTACAGAGTTCCAGAGTTCTTGCTTCACTGGAATCTCCCTTTCTAATTGGGCAAAAACCTGCCCTGTTTCACTTCTCAAAGAGTTTATTTTTATGTTAAATTCACTTGGGATTTCAGTTTTCTTAGAAGTGACAACACCATCTTTCTTACATGATGTTAGTCTCTTAGAGTTACAGGAGATATCTGGTCTAGTAATACGAAACGGTCTGATTTCACAGAATGGAAAAGAGAAAGACGTGCTTCAAATGTCTGAAATGAGGCCGACAATCAAAGCTTTCATGTCACAGGCTTGTTTGAGAGATTTTGTTGTCTTACTCTGGGAAACAGTTGATGATGGAGCCCAACCTCTAAATGCTGTGATTAGACGGAGTTATCGGTGGTCAAGATTTTATAACGCGTTGCTTTGGATTGGGACCAAATCATCTTTAGAATCTGAGAATTCTCTTCTTTCAAAAAAAGAGCCTCTTGGGGCGCTCGACTGGCTTAAAGATCCAAAAGTTATGAAATTTCATGAAAAGTGGAAGAATAATCAATCAGTAAGTTTCTTACAAACGGTGCCACGTATTTTTCTGAATGTGAGTAGATTTCGCTACATTATCATGACGATAATCTTGATACATTTGATCATCTCTGTTTCTCTCTCCTCCTTCATCACAGATATACAAGAAAACAAAGTCGAAAGCTCAAAAATAACGAGGCTTCTCTTCCATCTGTAGAGCTCGATGATAGTTCATGTAGGTAAATACAACTTCATTCTTCTGAGCTAAACACTTAGTTGTAGATCAACATTTCAACAATTTGTCATCAAAATTTTCAGATTCTTACGTTCATGATCTACTATTTGAACTCACAGATTTAAATAATATCTCTGACATATCTATTTTAACTACTAAAAATTTTGGGTGCATTCCACTTGGAGGTAAGGCTAATGAAACAGCGTTTAAAAATATTGTTCAGTTGCAAAGCCGATTAAAAAATAAGTGCTTATTGGATAAAGTTGAGCCGTCGCAAGTACTTCAAGTTGGGATAAAGATTCAACAGTTCTCTGATTCTGGAGGTTTACAGCAGCATAACTTTCATTTACTCCCAATTTTACAGGGTCTTGCACAACAACTAACTAATTCCGGTGAAAGAAATTCAAACCTGATATCCATATACCGAGGACTCCATTCAGGGTTCCAAACAAGCCGAGACTTTCGTTTTTGGTCGGTATATGACTTTGAAGAGGATGGATCGCTCAACATATATATTTCGCGCAACTGTAATCAGAATATGGCTGAAATCATTTTACATACATTCTTATCGAGTCACGGGTGCCAGCAATTAAAATGTCTTGAAGCTGAATTCGCCTTTGCTGAGTGGTCTGACACTCTGGTTCGACCACAACTCCTGCCCAAAAGGTTTCTTGAAGATATTAGCTCTCTAGCTCCTTCTGAACAATTAATTTTTTTACGAGCTCTCAGTCTCACTAATAATCTAAACGACAGGATCCTAGTACATCGAATTAAGGCTGCGGTTGAGGAAAATCTACTAAATTTTACAGACTTTCAACAATTGAAAAAAAAAAGTACCGTTGAATACTTGAGTGGAAGAGCTTCCGCAATGGATCTTGTTAGCGCTAGAACCAAATGGTATCAGCGAGCTAGGTGTCAATGTCTAGATCAGATAACAGCACTTGAGATCTTCCTTCAAACAGAAAACTCAGTCACTGAAATACTCAAAGATAGAAAAATTGATAAGATAGAAGAGATTACGACTATTTTCGCAAAGATTATAAAAAGTGGTCGAATTGATGCAAGGATTGACTTAATGATCTTCTCCGTGTTCTGTGCATTCAGAAAGCATGCATTTGACGAGGCATATATTGAGGTGACAGATCGCAATGCACTGTTCAACGACCAAAGCGATCAAGCTGCAGCGTTTGCAGAACTCTTTGTCACAGGGACTAATTGCGAGGCTTATTTTGATATAGTACCTAGCGATTTCGGTCAGCTACTTTCTGAGAGATACCGAGCTCATCATCATCAAATGGGCAACGAGCCTCCGCTTCATGCTGAAGAAAACCCGGTGACAATGTCTGCATACGCAGCAGCTAGAATTGATGTTGATACTAACCAAAAAAAGGCGATAGTATCTACGTTCCAAAATTTGACCTTTTTAAGTGTGTTTGCAATTCCAGCCCTAATAGATATTCTACTGCTTACAACTACCGGAAGAGGTCTATATTTGAGTGGATATATGAGTCAGATGGAACAACGCATAGCTACATTAGCTTTAATGATTTCACTGCTTATTTCAGGTGCAGTTGGAACATGGGTAACCTGTGGAGGCTCCTATTATCTTACTTCCATGGCATTCTCAGCAATGAATGTTTTTATTGTTACACGCCTTGTTGGGGGTCTTGCATTCACTCTAATCATTGCAGCGATCGGGCTAGTGTTTTTTTGGGCCACTGAAGGGGCTGAAGTTGGCTTCATTTTCTTTTTTTATCTCATTGCTCTGAATTCTTATTTGTGTTTACTAGCAACTCTTGCTAACTTTCAATACTCTGGCTCCGCATTTTTATCAGTAGGTTTTTCGAAATCTTTAATTTATGTTACTTATACACTGAAAGGGCCGGCCTATAATTTTAACACTGCTTCCGTTTATGCTTATATCTCCATTGATTTCGATGTGGATTCCGGGTTACGATATTTTTATTTACTTTGCAGTATTCTCGACATTTTTAATACTCTTAATAATTGCCGTCTTACACAAAGCATCAAAATGGGCTACCTGGTACATTGAAATTGAAAATATAAGTGACCAAGAACTAAAGAACTGGTATATAAAACGGTATTTTTATGGAAACCAGAAAGCAATTAATGAATTAACGGAACCATATATTCTAAAATGTGCTAGAGACATGATGTCACAAAAAGTGGAGGTTGTCAAGAAGAGCATTTTCAAGAAGACACGTGATTCCGTTGTTGAAGCACTTGCAAAAAGTCATAATGCATCTATATTTTTACTTGAGTGGTATTGTGGCTATTCTGGCACTCCAATTCCTATTCCTTTCTCTTCGACATGGAATATGCAGACTAGAGTCGCGCTACAGACATTAGAGCAACTGCAGACTGGAATGCGACTTCATAATGGATTCATTCACTGGCGCCAAGCGGGTGATGAGGTGAATTCGGAAAAGTGAAGATTGATAAAAACTAGATAAGCTAATGTTATCCAGGTGGGGTGTAACACACTGTATTTCATTGTTGCGCTTCTTGATAAATGGAACGCTCTTTTATCTGGAAGACAGCTTCTAGGACTTTCGACCATGAATATTCAATATAGGATGCCTGTGGGATTTGCTTTGGCTTATTACCTTATTGGTGCGGTGCTATTAGACTTCAATTCCACTAAACTTCACAGTATGTCCTCTATGTGTCATAGTATGCTGATTAGCGACGTGTCATCTGTATCCAAAGCAGTTGGTTCGGAAATAAAAGCCAGGCGTTTACTCTACTGGAATATGCTAGGCCGTTACTGTTTGTTTCATGTTTGGAGTCTAGCTATTTCTTGCAGCTTTCTCTGGATATTTAACAGTACAAAAGGTTCTACTATTATATTCCTCTTCTATGTTGGTGCTTACACAGGTATTTGAATTATCTCGATTAGATCAGAGGGTATTCTAACTATCTATAGGGCTTCTATGGTATCAGGTAAACTCGAATCATAATATGTAACCTGTAATCTAATTGTCGATTAGTATACAAAAATATTTACCGGACCTCGCAGTCTAAAACCACTAATAGTGGCAATTTCTGCTGGAATCCCCCTTGGGCAGTCTTTAAGACGAATATACCCTGATTTCATTTATGGAGATGTTACTAGCTTAGCAGTTGCAACGTGGACGGCTGCTATTCTCTCATTATGGTTCGCTCGTATAAAACCAAAAAACCCATCGCTTGGCTACGGAGGGAGCACCCATACTAATACAGGCCATAGAAAAACTAAGGGTAATAGTATTTTTCATGCAATTACAAGTCCGGGTAAAGATCCCTTACTTTCACAAGATGAGCTATGTATAATCTTTCATAACCTCTCAGCACTCGATGAAAAAGAGAGATACTGTATTAGCCCAAAAGACCAAGTCGGACTTGAAATAGAATCAATTCTTCTTGGCTCTGTCAAAGTTCTCCGGGACCTAAATATTGAATATACGCAATTTGCTATCGAAGCATTTCCTAATCTTGCAGATCATATAGAATTAATTGCAGCTTATTTTAAACGCGGAGATGCCGTAATTGAATTTGTTTCAGCCAAAAATATTTCTGATCAGTTCAATGATGTAAATGCCATTTCGTATTCAGAGCACGGCAAAATTCGGGTAATAGCTGGATACAAAACAATTGAGATTGATGAACGACAGAGGTCTTCAATTAAATTCCTTTCCCAAATGTAAGTTTTTACAATTTCCACCTAAATTTGTCACTTATTTGAGTCAGAGCTGCTGAAATCATCGCGCATATCATAGCTGAAACTATCATGGGTATGAGCCACAAAGATGCCTCGCTTATTGAATCAATACTGGCATTTAAATCGTCAGTTTGCGATGTGAAATACAGTCTCGTTTCAACCCGATTTCAGGATTACCTTAGGTCTCAAAATGATTCTTTAGAGTTGTCAGAGCCACTCTTTAAGTTCTATGAGTATCAGATAATTGAATTTCTATCGCTAAACTATAACATTGACCTTGACTGGGAATCCCTTCCTTATGAAATCCGGGACTTAGTGACAAGAAGATGCACTAGTCAAGAAGTTACAATTACTAAATTTCAACATGAATGGCTTCTTTTAAATCATATTCATGGCATACCATTAAAGACATATATGGCTCGCTGTGATTTTGGAGTTTTTGTGGCATTGTCCAATCTACACTATGCATTGGATTATAGAGCAAATATTTTGGACAAAGAGTTTAATTTTTCAAAAAAACATGACTCAACTGGGCTTCTGACAGTTTCCCAACTTCCAACAAGACTTACAATAAGACGGATTTATAGTACCCTCAAATATCCCATTAGTCTGGTATATCACAAACTTGGGGTTTGTCTCAAGCTTTTAGCTATTGCTTTTGTGGCTGACCCAGAGTTACAACGAGAACTTGACTATGCACTTCGTGCTAGCAATACTTTATTAAGAGGCGTGATATTATTTTTCGTAACTGGTATTTGGCACTATACAAAATGGCTCCAACATATTATGATGCCTATATTTTTACTCCATCGTCGAACAAAAATATCTAGATTCTATGATCATATTGATGGTACCTCCGTCTCGATAAAGCGCCGAAGAATCGTAATTGAAAATATAAATGGGCTTTCAACTGCATTCATGTTGCCAGAAGCAAAAGATGGCACTTTCGAGATTAGAACATATCAAGGAGACTTTGAGAAGATTCCCGAGGGAAACAAAAAGCTTCAACGCATTAGCATCTATAAAAAAAAACCTATACGCCTCCTTCGACGAGAAGAATTCTCTCATTCTACAAAATGCGGTTCCTATGAATATGAATATTCCAAAACATCACTATCAAAGCACCGCATTAAAAAATATAATAGCCATCGCTATCCAATCCGTCGCAAGTGTTTAGAGGGCAATAAAGAAAATGAAGAAGTGAATTTCAATCATCGAGGCTTTGTTGAGAACGGATCTTTTTTTCTTCATGGAAGTATTGTAAGATTCAGTTATCACTACCGACTTAGAAATCATTCTGAAGATGAATTATTACGCGCCGATTTTATACTTCCTCACTTAAAATGCACAGTATCGTGGTCAGTACCACCTGAGCGTCGTTCAGAAAACCTTGACGAATGGATAGCACATTCACAAGTCACAGAGGCTATGTTTATTTTTGGACATGATGTCTACGAGTCTCATTGGAATTACGATCATAAATTTCATCCTACTATACAAACAACTTTGAACGGTAAACCAATTGAGACAATTCCAATGATAGAATGGGATCATTTGGGTGTTCTAAAAAAACCACAAAACTATAGCATTCACCATGACGACCCTCTTATCAGCTTTAAATCGTTGAACCATAGTATTTTCTCTCGATGGCTTGGCCTTAATACTCATCAATACAGGATATCAACATCATATGCTCGATCTCGCTTATGGGAAACCTGGAGAAATACGTCAATATTGGATGGTGTAATAGCTAGGTGGTTAGATGAAAGACTTCTTCGAAAAGACCAATTACTACGAACTTACTGGCGAAGACGAGATAGAGGTGATCTGATTGGAGCAGAAATGTTCCTTAACGCAAATGTGAACAGTGTTATGGCAGCTATAGATCTGGACAGCTCCATTTCTAGCTGGGCTCCTTTGGCCATTAAAACTGCAGACTTATATAGTTTTGGGCAAGGCGGTGATGCCAATAGCCGGACAAGATCAGTTAGCTCAAATTTTGACGATGGGAGATTGCAAGTGCTCGCACTAGACTCAGGGACATGGCCGAATGAAGGTGGAGGTGTTTCAGCTTGTCGGCGGGACCTAGTTAATAATCTTTATTCTGTTAACTGGTATATGGTCTCAGAATCTGCAAACGATTTTGGACTTCCTAAACATCAGGTACATATTTTCTTTGATAATTTTGTAATCGAAACTGACGAAACTACCAGACTGAGATAAATGTGAGAAGCCTCAAAATTATTCCTCTATGGGGTCTTGACTTTCTCACTCCAACTCATGGGCTATTTAAGGATCGGCTTGATGCTCAAGTAGAACATATTCCTAGTTATGCTACAAAGCTAGATGTTGAGCAAAATTTTATTCCGATTCTTACTGCACTTGTGAGGAGTGCACGTACGATTAAATTCAAACAGAGCGATATAAATCAAGCTACAAGAGCTTTAGTGAATCTAAATACATACTTTTCAGGAAGCAAACACTGGCGTGCTATTTGGACAAGTACTATTGTCAAAAATGCCTGGCGTAATTTATGGTCATCCCCTGAACTCGTTAGTCCAACTCCGTCCGAAAAATGGTTCCAAGCAGAAATTCCGACTATCGGTCAACTTGATACTGCTCTAGAGCTATGGTTTAGATACTTGTTTATTTTCTCGATACCTATACCAGAAAAAATTCCTGCCATATTTCAAGCCTCCCATCATGGAACTAGTGCCTCTTATGGAGTAGTCTGTAAGTTAAAGCGGAACTGCATCCTACAGATTTGGGATCATGCTATTTCATGGAGAGAAGCCAATCTTTACCTATCTTCTGACCTATGTAATATGGCACCATTCATAAGAAATTCTCTTCTAGGCCTTATGAATGCTACTAGCAAATTAGTTCTACACCACGCAGATATCATTCTTCCGTGTGCAGATTATTTTAATGCAGGCTGGGAAATTGAAATAGGAACTGGACAAGGCTTAATTGAACATCGCAACAAATTTAAGAGAAAGATTGATCCTGTTGTTAATGGAATAATTGATATCTCAAGATTTAGACCAGTTGAAAAAATTGAATCAGACAAGCCAACCGTAACAATGCTGTCTCATGTTTGGTATGCCAAGGATATCAAGACTGCTATTTTGGCAGCTGATGTAATTGTTAATGAATGGGGATTTAAGGACTATCGACTAAAAATATATGGTGCGATTGATAAAGCACCTTCTTATTCGACCGATTGTTTTGAAATAATCGCCTCAAAATCACTTTCGAGATATGTCACCATGTGCGGAGAGTCAAATCCTGCGTCTGTCTTAAGAAAGACATGGGTATTTATGAATTCTTCTATCTCTGAAGGATTACCCCTAGCACTTGGAGAAGCTGCTCTTTCAGGAGCACCAGTTGTCTGTACGAATGTTGGAGCATCTCTACAGGTCCTTACAGATATTGAAAATGGCAAATGTTATAGTGCTATTGTCGCGCCAAATGATCCTCGCGGGCTGGCACGTGCACAAATAAATCTTTTAGCAATGTTAGATGAATGGGCAGCATATGCTGATGATTCTGAGGGCTTTCTTGTACCCACTATACCTGAGAAGCCAACTCAGAAAGAGATTGAAATAATCACAGCTAGAATGTATGAAAAGACTGAACAGAGAAAGGCCCTTGGAATGAAGAGCAGACGTATTGTTCAGAAATCTTTTGATGGAAAACGATATCTTCGTGAGCATGAGCAAATGTTGTGGATAGGTAAGATTCGTCATGAGCTTGATACATGAGTCGCTATTCACAATAATAAGAACCATTCAAAGCAAAATATACTGCTCTTCAAGCTGTGTAAAACTCATTTCAGGATTTTTCTTCCTCTAAACCAAATTTTAATAACCTGGCTGTCACACTTTCAAGTCAAATCGGGATTATGAGCCATTTTTGAGAAAATTAACAGCCAGAAGGTTCAAAGGATTATAGACTCACAATTTCCATAAATAATGAAACAACATTATGCTTGGTAATAAAGTTTTCACTTTCCGTGCTACAGTATTATAAATGGGAATAGCCTAGAATTCTCTTGATCAAAATCAAAAAAATTTCAAGATCTAAGGCTGAAATATACAGAGGTGGCTCATGTGTTTTAAACAGGGGAGAAAAGAAATAAGCTAGTTTATATTTTTGAGGTCTGCTATTTGGCTATAGATTATTAGAAAAGCCCTCTTAATTACTGATCAGTCTCGCAATATTTTAGTTCAACTCATATCATTGCCTACCTATTTCCATAGATCCTTTTTTACTATCCTATTCAATTCCTATATATTGGCCTATGAGAACAGATTGTCATTTTTCGGTTCAAGATTTTTAGTAGAACCTAGAGTTCCTCCAAGATGACATGACCCAGCTTCATGCCTGGTATGTTCCTTGAACTATAGATTCGTAATTATTTTCGCGTGATTCATCATTGACTCTGTCAAATAGACAAAGCTCGGCAAATTTGATGGAGAAATTTTGAGATATTTGACTCTCGAGCTATCTTTTTTTTACATCAATTTTTAGTTTCGTATGCAGCTATCTAGCTTTGACACACTATCAGAGAAAAAGTACAGAATATCTGACTTGACATACAAGAAGAGCACTCATGCCTCGGATTTCATTTGCAAGAGCCACTGCGAATTATGGCGGCTATTTTTTCACCCCAAGTCAGCCCTAATCTGTGGATACCCACCCAGGGAAACGTCTCAAAAACCCTGAGCTATTCAGACATGCCTCCATCACCCATTAACTAGTCTCCGCGCTAAACGTGGTCTAAGGCGTCTCCTTCCCAAGTAGAGTAGGTGCGCAGGCTACTCAAACTATACCAGAGAGCACCGCCAAGAGGCGGACCACGACACCTTCTATCGTTTGCTTTTATTTATAATGTCAGCTTGTTGTTAAGGTAAGAGCTTACGGGGGTTAATTGGCAGAAGGTTTACGGATGATTATCGATGGATCAATGTGAACTGCTGATATGTTTGATATTCAAAACCTTGGGGATTTGGGAGGTAGAAAGCGCTAATTATATACACATCTGAGGTAGCTAGAATCTCGCCTTATTTACCCAAAATAGTACCACGGAATATTCTAGTCTCCTCCATCTGGCAGTACAATCTAGAAACACTTTCTACACAGTGCTCCATTGTTCCTCTACTCATCATGGAGCCACCTGGAAAGTTCTTCCTTCACCCTCAGTGATCATTACCCTCGTGCATCGTAATCCTAGCCATCACCAGCACAACACAGCTGCACTCTCGCAATCAAAGGCAAGGCGCGTACAATGCTCTCTAAAATTCGAATCTCACACCCCTCAAGATTGTACTCTTCCTTTGTATTATCTCGCAAACCTATCCTGATTTCTCTCACGCTAATTCCAAAGAACTGCCTCCTAGAATTTCGCGCTAAAATTTCGTCCTCCTACGGGTAATTGTATTGTTGACGGTGCATATTTAGTGACAGGCTGAGGCCTGAGAATAGTCGATGAGGGATGTGGTCATTGGAATGAGGATGAGCTCGGCCTTACTTGTAGACTTGAGACTTAAGAAGGAGTCGATCTCGTTGGGAGTGAAAGATTGACATGGTGGAGTATTTTGAGTCGTTGTCTCGAGGGCCAACTTGTTCGGTATTGCGTAATTTAACTGAACTTGGCTCTGGGAAAATATTTCACTTCCAGCTTCGTAGAGGACACCGCGCACAGGTGTTCAGTCTTGCCCTCCAGTATTGTGTCCCGTGACGACGTGAAGTAATTAAAACATAACTAGCCAGCGTTTTGACGCGTACTTAGGCCTAGCATAGCAAATGAAAGTCAGTATCTTATCATGAGCCCGAAAATTTAAATACATGTGAATGTCAGCCTCTTAACCAACTTCATGATTTGTAGACGGTATCTAAATGTAAACATAAAATGTGGTCATCTTTATCTGAGGCTCTCTTGCCCTTTAAACTAAAATACTATTCTAATCCGTATTATTGTTGTATGTTTTTAAAGAAGCAGAAGCCAAGGGTCCAGATATTTATGGCATGAACTCTCTCTATTGAAGCCATGGCCAAATATGTGTTGAAGGTGGAATTTTAAGTCTTTTGGAGACGATCCTAGAACTTTCCAGTAAGGTTGAAGTAGTAGTACAGGATTTCGCCTGGTTATTATTATTATTACTATTATTATTATTATTATTATTATTATTATTATTATTATTATTATTATTATTATTATTATTATTATTATTATTATTATTATTATTATTATTATTATTATTATTATTATTATTATTATTATTATTATTATTATTATTATTATTATTATTATTATTATTATTATTATTATTATTATTATTATTATTATTATTATTATTATTATTATTATTATTATTATTATTATTATTATTATTATTATTATTATTATTATTATTATTATTATTATTATTATTATTATTATTTATTTTATTATCCTGTCCGAGTCTATGACCATGTAGGACATGCAGGTCCTCTCTGCCTACAGGCCAAGGATACCTATACCAGTAGTATATCCCCTCCTATGCCTCCCATACAGCTCCCCTCAAATAGTACAACCCCTCACAAGTCCTCATTCGATCATACACTTAGAGGAGCCCTTTGCCCTTCATCATCTCCTCTTTCCAGCCAACGAAACGATGGCCATTTGCAGGTGTATGGCAGCCGGGAAAAATCGCAAAAACCACTGGGTGAGGAGCTTTTCTAGCACCGACATTAGGACTAAATCCGAAGACATAGTGATCGATCTGAAGCGTTCGAAGAGGCCGGCCAGCTGGGCTCTGCGGACTTGTGGGTACCTCTGAGAATTCACACTCTGCCTTTCTAGCCTCCTTCCAACTCCTTCCCGAAGGTCCCCCTGAAATGTCAGAAAAGTCTTGACAGAGCGTGATTGCTGTATAGTAACTTAGCCTAGCTTCTTCTGTACCGTCCAGGGCGCTGGGGAGTGCCGTTGAATCATCGACGAAAGAAGCCCTCCTGGCTAATTAGCCGAAATCTTGGTCTTGGCGCCCACAAATTTCTAAAGTTGAAAACCCCTCGAAAATATCGGTCCCAGCATGGTCCTCAGAGTCCTGTTTTCCCTCTCGCTCCACATCTCAGCCGCCTGTCCTTCCTCAAGATGTATAACCCCATTAGAGCAGCAGTCCTCCATAAACCAAGACCCCAACTTTGTATATTATGACTTGATTTCCTTCTTGCGGGTATACGTAGCGTCGTAAGTTTGTAGTGAGTGATGGCCGGTGATGAATGAGGCAAGCTCCTATTTGCAATTGGGGTGACGCCTTTATTGGTCGGCGAGGCGAGATGATAAATGGCTAGATGGAGGTTGAGGACTCAGAAGATAATGTCGAGTGCTGCATGGTTGAGAAGTCGTCAAATGGAGATATGCATGTGTTTGCTTTCGACTTCGATTCGGATGCGATTCTCCTTGGCTATCCCAGATATGCAGAGCATACTGAGCGACTACACTGGCACCACTGGTAGGTGAAGAATTCGTCTTTGCCGGCATTTCGCCTAATTGATTAAGTGTTGATCGCCGTTTGATGTTTACCAAGGAAATCACGCCGTCTTATCTAGTGGGAAATAGGGCCGTTTTTGGAAAGTCTATCCATTTGCCATGTATCGTTCGTTTCTCGTCTACCACGTTTCAGAATAGAACCATCAAGAATAAGATGACTTAACTTTTACTTCGGGATCTTTCATGTTGCATTCCAATGACCCAACATGTATGTACGTTAAAGCCAATCGACAGCCGCTAATACTTTGACTTAAAGCCTTTTAGCTTCCAATTGCTAAAAAATAGAACTGTTAATGTAAGCCACTAAAAGAAGAACGCTAAGTATTAAGCTCATTGAAAAAGACAAGGCATAAAGAGGGGTTGCAGAAACACAGGGCTCTTAGACAAAGGCCATTGGTCTACAGTTTATGCCTTTACAGCAAATCGACTATAGTGTCCCCAGAGAATGCGACCCATAAAATCGAGAAGAAACGATTGGTTAACATTGTTTCGAACGATAACAAATGAATTGATTAAAATAAATTTAAGTCGTCATTTGTAACAATGCAGCATTTTGACCTGGTTCGAGACGAGCTCAACTGGAGAGTCCAGGGCCAGGAGCACAAATACTCTCACAAATTTTCTCTGTGTCTTTAACTTACAGTTATTGAGACTCAAGCTTTCCCGAGTTAATTATCACTTCAAGGAATATTGATAACGAATTTTGGGAGCCCATACTGACAGCTAGAATATTCCTAATTTTATCTTCCAAACATTAAATCATCTCACATTCCCGATGACTCAAAATTCCAATGAAGTCTGTGATTTGGCTAAACGTCTTGAAGCGACCCAGGACGACCAGTTTTACAACCCGGACATCTGCAAGAAAACACCTTATCGTGGGCGAGAGTTACCGCAGCATTTTAAGATAAGTTACTGGAAGTTTCAGGATAGGTTTTATCAGAGTTCTGGCCTACCAATTTACGCTTATCCTCTGTTGATGGGCAAAAATGAAATGAATGATGATCAAATAGTGGTTCGTGGATACAACAAGTTTTTCAATGTTGAACAGATTGCCTCGACTACCTGGGAGGAGATCGAGATCAAGACTAAAGGACCTTACGAAATCAGCAGTATAGAGAACGGATGTACTGTGTTGATAAGCGGTCTTTGGGACGGAACTCTTTTAGTTACGAGTAAATCCCCATATAGCTCTCAAAATCCCGGTACTAGTCATGCAGAAGCTGGAGAAAGATGGCTCGAAATGCAACTCGCCAAGCTCAATAAATCTAAGAAGAACCTAGCTACAGAGCTATGGTCTAGAAATGTCACACTCGTAGCAGAGCTGTGTGATGACCGTTTTGAGGAGCGTGTCATATCTTATACTGGAGAAAAGGCAGGACTATACCTTCATGGAATCAACGCGAACGTTACCAAATTTTTAACCTTCCCGGGCGCCCAGGTACAAAAGTTTGCAAAAGAATGGGGGTTTCTTAGGCAGGAGTTTGTGATATTTGATGTGATCAAAGATGCAAGGGCTTTCATTAATGATGCAACAAAGTCTGGGTCATACAATGGACGAGTAGTTAAAGGGGCTGTTATTCGATGCAAGATCCTTAGGAGTAAGTTGGGTGAATATGAAGACTTTTTCTTCAAGTGCAGAATTAGAGGGTTATATCAAATATATCGCCAGTGGCGTGAATATACCAAAGCTATGTTAAAGTCTCAGTTCGTCCCCAGAAACAATGACATGATGACGCATGAATATCTCGAATTCGCTCAAAGGAAGTTCCTTCAGGAACCCGAGTTGGGAAGGGCTTACTTAGATAATCACGGTGTCATAAAAATAAGAGAAGAGTTTCTAAAGGAAAAGGACATGTTAGGTTCCAGTAACTTAAAGAGAAGTCTAGCAGTTCAGAAATTAGAACTACAAGATGTTGTAGATAATATCATCTTAGTGCCCATAAGCACTATTGGTTGCGGAAAGACAACCGTATCTCTTTCGCTCTCTTTTCTCTTTGGCTGGGGATATGTCAGGAATAATACCATAGAAGGTAGAAATCGGCCACATAAATTCGCTGAGAAGGTTCTGGAGGTACTAACGAAGAAGCCTGTTGTATTTGCTGATAGAAATAATGTACAAAAATTCCAGCGAAATCAATTGATCCTTCACATTTCAAGAAAAAAACCACAAGCTCGGATGATTGCACTAAACTTTGTGAATAATGAAGCTTCCTTCGAAAACATACGAAAAGTCACTCAAGCTCGCATACTTCCACGGATTGACAACAATCTGAGATCGGACACAGGCCTACAAAAAGATCGGGCAGTCGATATAATGGATAGCTTTATCGAACGATTCCAAAAATTAGACGTATTAGATTGGCCGGATTGTAATTTTGACGCCGTGATTAATCTCAATCCAACCCTTGATTCTAGGGCGAACTTGGAGATTTTAGTTGAAGAGCTACGAAGAATCTTTCCCAAGCTCATCACGAAAGTACCGACTACAGAAGAACTTGACGTAGCATTCTTATCTGGTCTCAACAAATCAAATGAGAAGACGAAGTGCTTATTTCCTGAAAGATCTATCGAGTTGCCGCACGATATGGGTCAAAATTCAGACGCAACACACGTCGCGAATTTTCCAAATTTAAAATCCTCCTATTTTACTTGAGGTCAATATTTCGAGATAACGTGATGCCAGGGGAAGCTTTGAGGAGAATAAGGCGAAATTTGACAGTTTCTTTTTGGGGAAGGAAGGAAAATTAAGATGAAGGAGTAGTGTAGCACAGTACTGGCTGGATCTATTATTTCATTTTTCAATAAAAAAATATTGTTTTCGTTACAATACGTCAGATTCAAGGCTTTTGAAGGCATTTCAAGGGCAGACGCCTTAGAAACAGCCCAAGTGAAACTCTGCTAGTTTGATGACTTCTTGAATTGCGATATTTCTAGCCTCACATGCATGAATCCTTCAAATAGCAATAACTGTGATTTATACCCTGGGTCAGAGAGGAGACCAATGTGCTAGGTAGTCATAGACTAAAGTAGCACAATAAAACACACCAACTTTTTGAATTTAGAAATTTCGAAATCCCCCTTTCTCCCCCTCTCATGCTGGTTGTACCTATCAGAAAATTGTAATCGAGCTGCTAGCATTATTATCATGCCACCTACTCCAAAAAAGAGTTCTAACGTCAAGTTGGACGGCTCGAAAGTCTGCACTAGAGTTCTCGCAAAAATGCCGGGCCTTGCCTTGTCTCCAAAATGCGTGGAGATGGGCTAATTATCGAGTAGAAGGAAGGAAAGAGCTCTTCCTACCGTCTCTGCGCCCTAAACTGGCGTGGTTGAGTCAGATGAGTGAATGAATGAAAGTTTATTCGTGACGGACACAAGCCCTGTACTCAAAGGGCATAACACGGAGAAGACTAGCTTCCCCGACGACTTTGTACGACGATAACTCAGTTTGACATTTGGACTACTCATGTAGTGGGTGCATTCGCTGATACCACTCGAGACCGTGGTGCTAGGGACTTTCACCCCTCCCTCAACCGTTAATATCCGCCAAAGGGAAAACAGGAAAAACCTTTGGCTACCCTAAAATGCCTTTATCATCTTATATATAGCCACTGCGCGAGATATAGCCTCGCAGTCCTCCCTTTCTCGAGTGAAGAAGGTGTCCGGGCTACCTAGACTTTGTTGGAAATCTAGACTTCGTATGTATGAAGGTTTAGATTTCTAGTTTGATCATCAAGATCAATTTACTTGTTTCTATTGCATACGATTAAGCTCGGCTAGGGGAAACGAGGTTCAGTAGTATCTAAAATGCAGTGGCTAGGAAATAATACCATACGGTAATTGAGTGGCTGGTCTTAGCTAGATCACTGGGAGTTCGGGATCACTAAAGCCTCGGGAATCTGTATTTAAGGATTGGTTTATTTGTATATGTTGAACTAAGTAATCGAAATATTATATTTTATTCATTCATATTGAGAAGAGAATTCGATATCCTATACAACTATCAATATATTCTTGTCCGAAATTGTACACTTGTTCTTCGAGATATTTCCGCCTAGAAATCCTTGACAATTTCTAACAGACTTTGATTTGGGGAGATGACGACCAGGACGCTGACCACAACGCGTTCCAGCGTTGCCAGTATTTCAAGTGTCGGTAGCACTATCCTAATCGTTGCTTCTGAGCCCACAGACACTCGTAAGTCGAAAACACTAAAAAAATGTGTCCCAGCATGGCCATTTGTGACCTCTTCACTCGTTCGTCCCGCGTCCCAGCTGCCTGTCCTCCCTCAAGATGTGAAGCCCCCTTAGACCAAGACCTGAGCTTTGTATACTACGACTTAATTTCCTGCCCGCGGATATACATAGCATCGTAAATTCGTAGTGGGAGATGGCCGGTTTTTGATGAGGCAAATGCCCGATTGCAGTTGGAGTAACGCCATTTGAATTTGATTTCATTATCCTGATTTGGCGCCCTATGGGCCCATGCAGGTGTCTACAGTCTATAATATTTACCCGGGAGGAAATCTTTATGGTGAAAACCTCCCACATCTTTCTATTTGTTGTCTATAGTTCTCACAAATTTTCTCCAGGAAGCGCAGTTACACTATAGTGCCATCCATTTAAACTAACCAGGTCATCTCTATCCTCCCCCAGCATTATTTGACCTTTCCCTTAGCAGTATTTCGACCGCTTTTGTCATCTGGAATTGCTCTATCCAACCATGGTTTAGGATCCACTGTGTTATCCCTTTTATATCCCTAGGATTGTCTATCATCGCTTCGTAGGATCGATCTTTGGCTTGTCTCTAGATCTCAGCTCTACCATTTGACCATTGGGGGCAGGACATAATCATATGCTTTGGGTTCTGTGATTGGTAGCCGCATGGACAACCTAGACTTAATACTCCGGGTACTTTTCTTCTGTGTAAATACGAGTTGAGCCCTGTGTGATCACTTCGTATTTGCATTGCCAAACTGCTTTGGGCCCTTGTCAGGTCACGGTGTAGGAAGAATGGTGAGCCTTGAAAACTCAGTCTTTGCCGTCCGGACTCTCTACTTTGGTAAAATGTGGCTGCTCTCCAAGTTTCGGGATCTGCAGTTGCTAACTGACGAGGCTTCTGAGTTTGTTTCTGCTTGGCGGAGTAATGCCATTATCGATACTCGAGGCGAGGTGGTGTAGTAAGATTGAGCGGGAGGACTCGCATGAGAATGACAAGACCGGCATTTATGTGAAGTCGGCGATTTTAGATATGCTTGAGTTTGCATTCAACTTCGATTCGGATGCGATTCTGCTTGGCTATCCCAGATATGCAAAGCATACTGAGCGATTACACCAGCACCTCTGGAAGGTGAATGATCTGGTCATGCCGGCTCGGCGACGCCAGGAATATGACCTACATTACTAAGTTGAGACAAATTAGGATAGTGTCATCAACGGTTGACGTTGCGACGAAAACGCCAGCACACCTTCGCCGTGATATTGTATATTCAGATCAAGGGATAAGGCGTTGGAAAAATTATTGCGAATTACAATATGTGATCAACTAGCGTGCTTGTAACATTAGGATTTTTGTGTTTGGATTGGAGAAGTCATCGACAAATCTACACCAGACTTTACGAACTCCGTAGGCATTTTGTGATTAGATAATACGTGTATTTATTGTCCAAATGAGTGTATGACTATGAAAGGATATGTAGTTCCTTTCTGTCTGGAGTATCTATGTCTCGGGTAGTTTTCTCCCTCGTGTTCCTCCCTTACAACATCTTTTCATCAGTAATACCCCCAAACGTCTTCATTTGGGCACACACTAAGAGAAGCTCTTATACCGTCGTTATCTTCCCTCCCCAGCCGACGGAACGATGGCCATTTAAGGGTGTCCAGCTGCAGGGAAAAATCACAAAAACAACTGGCTGCGAGGCTCTCCTGATGCCAAGAGGCCGTCCAGCCGGGCGCAGCAGCAGCAGACCTGCGTATACCTAAGATCGTCTCCCAACCTTCCTAGCCTCTTTCTTTCTCCTCCCCTGATTCATGCCGCAGGACAAATCGAAGGTCGTGAAAGGGTATCAGATAAGTCTTGGTCGAGAGTGACTACCGTGAAGAAACCTAGCCTAGAATCCATAAGGCGTTATGGAGTTGGGGTTGTCGAGTAGCTCATGTATTTCATAAGCCTCATGGCTAGTAGATTCGGGAATGTAGATTAGAAGAGAAGATGTTGTTTTTGGGTCGAAATCTGCTTTTCTTGAGGGCGGAAGGGTGTTTGACTTTGCTTTCGTAGGCTTTTTGTTCGCCTGCCTATGGATAGCACATGCTGTGATATGACGAGGACTTCTCTAATCACCGTTGTAGCGTTTGGTACCGCATTAACTTTTCTCATTCCTAGCATCATTATCGTCGTCTAGGTCGTCTAAAGTGTTATCGGAAACGTATCTTTGATGGAGGGGTTATCGACTTCGGAATCTCAGACAACAGGCATAAAATAATTATGGATTCCCAGATGTCGATATGTGTAAATATACTTTAGGTATTGCAAAGAAAATATAATAAAAGTGTAGATGTAAATGTAGATGAAAGATAATTGATTATATTAAAAGATGTGCTTATCATAGAACCTACCCGTCTTCACCTCCGGTCCAGGTCACTTATAACCTATCTATCCAAAGTATTCAGACGTCATCCATCCACTTAGCAACACATCAAGACTTAATTGTCAAGTTAGATCTAATTACAGTCCCGTTTACAGAATGTTACATTAATGTTCGCGATGGTGGTGTTTTCCTATGCTAAACATGTTCCATGCATCTACACCCCTGGGATGTGTGATTGCTAAACATTCATTGATGTGACAGTTCAACACATATTTATCAAAACTGAGCCTCCCACACTTTGAATCATAGACCTTCGGATTATACTCCAAGGAGAAACAGTAGCCTGAAATATATCCGAGCATCTCTGCATATTCCTGACCCTGGCCTAATCCAAACAAGGGGGGATAACTCAGCTCAAAGTTGAAAAGATAATGTTCAATCTCGGCTCTGTAGAATCTGCAGCGAGAGCCGGAGGTTAGTAGGTGACGCCACTAACAAGTTTGGAGTTTCGTTTCCCGAGTGATATGGAACTTGGGCTGGAATCAATTTTTGAATTTGATTTCATTAACCTAATTTGGCGCCCTGTGGTCTCATTAAGGTAGCTATAAACCCATCTACATATTTACATAGGAGGAAACCTCTCGGGGAAACCCTCTCAATCTTTATGATTTGTATCTTTCAAATTTGCAATGTATTCTTCAGGAAGCACAATTACACTTTGATGCCATCTTTTTATACCAACCACATCTCCTGCGTCGACCCCAAACTTGTGCCTATGCTATCCCGTTCCCTGAGCAGCATTTCAATCGTATTTGTCATGCGGAATTGTTTTGATCAACCATGACTGAGAACCCATTGCGTAATTCCTGTAATGTCGCCAGGATTGTTTATCATTGGTTCAAAAGAGCGTTTTCGGGCTTTTCTCCATATCTCTCCTCTCCCAATTGACCAACTAGGGTAGGACATGATCAAGTGCTTAGGATTTTGTGATTGGTAGCTACACGGACAGCATGATTAGTAGACTCCTGATACTTTTCTTCTGTGTAAATGCGGTTGAAGCCCTATGTTCTCGCTTCGAATTTGGATCGATTGGCTTCTTTGAACCCTTCTCATGTTTTTGAGAAGGGGAAATAGGGATTCCTGGAGGCTCATTTTTTGTTATTCATAATGTCGACTATGATTGAACTTCGCTGCTTTCCAAGTTTCAGAATCTACTATAGGGGATAGTGTTAATAGTTATCTTCCACAACGCTGATCGATTTCTCTTTAAATATAGACAACTAAAATCCACTAGAGCGGATTGGGGTATACCCTGTGCCCATTCGCCTCCATAAAACGCGGACTACAAGGCGAATAACAGCAAACATTTGATCAATTTTTCATGGGGATCCGGTCCAAAAGCAATGCGGGGGCGGACCTCTTTAATCTGGAAAATATAGGTCCAGCTGAACCTGCACGAAGACGTCGGTCAATCTCAATGAAGCCGAGACTCTCCAGAAAAAGATCAAATTTTCAAATGACCAAGATTTGGAAATGGATAGATGCGGACAAAATCTCTCTCTTAGGAATATGATGACAACACCAACAGACGAACTTTACATTAACCGTCAACTTACTCTCACTATACTCTCACCATCATGTTGCCCCCTTGAGACTTTTTCAACGGTCCGAGAGTATGTAGCCGGCATACGTGATGCTATCATTGGACATTGCAACTTACATGAAAGCGGGATGATTCTACATGACCTTATGGCAGAAAAAATCACTCTGTCTAAGCCAGACAAAACGGGTGTTAGCAAAGGCTTTCTGGTTGATTTAGATATGGCTTCTTTGCGTCGGAACCACGACGATTGGGATTATCCCAGAGCTATGAGTGGCATCAAAAAGTATATGGCGCTGGAACTTTTGCAAGCTATTGACGAAAAGGAAAACACCCTGAAAGAGACCTACCGTCATCATCTTGAATCATTCTTCTACGTTCTCATAGTTGAGTGTATGAGCTTTTGTCGTAAATTAGCTCCAGAGCATCTCAGTTACTGGTATTCAGCTGACACTACAGTTTGCTTATATGCATAGGAAAATAAAATCACAAATCACTTGCAAGATCAAATATTAGATTATTTCACGCCCGTGTTTGAATGTGTTCAGGAGCTGGCATGGAGTCTTCGCGAAATACTCTTTGAAGATAAAACAGTGGGATACGGGAGACCGGAAGATCCTAAAGTACTGTATGATCCTATAACTTGTGCCTTTGATGACACTATCAAGAAATTTGAAGGTGAAAAATTTTTCAATTAACACTTAATTATAGTCCTCTTATTTTTTTTTTAAATCATTTAATGTGTATTCAGCTATCTAGCTATGACACATGACCGGTGCCATGTATGCATGTTGGATGACTCTTTTGACGTTAGAGACACTATCTTAAGAAAGATACGTGGGCCATGGTATTACGTTGTAAATATTGTTTAGAGAGCCCTACTTATTTATTTATTTATAATATTTAACGTCGTGCCCGCGCACAGCACGTGAGTTCCTCACGTACCGGTTAGCCCAGTCTAAATTAAACTACCCGACGTGTTGGCGCCCTCACAGACCCACCAAAGCAAACAATAGCTAGGATTTTATCATCCTACGCTCGAAGATTATAGTGTACACGAAGGTCGTCCGTCCAACGAATCTCATGCTATGCCGTTGGTACTAAATCAAGAAAAGATTTTACAAAACAAAATAAAAAATAATAGGAGAAGATTGTTCACATCAGATCGTGATTTCGTTCGAATAGAGAGCCCTACTGCTACAGATGAAGTCTATGTATTGAAATGTATAACCCAATACTTAGTTTGTGGACTTTATTGGTAAAGGGAAGCTTATGCAATAATGAAGGATAAAAGGATGTCAATTCGACTACTCTATTAAACACAGGTACCAGACTCTTTTTAACCCCAAGAGATAGCCCGTGCGGGATCTCCTATTAACAGCAGTAAACAACGCTAGCACAGGGTATACGCAATCTCCGTTCGCCAAACACCAGTCGGTCGGGACTACTAATTATCGAGCCTAGCAGGATCGACATAGTGTGTCACAAACCATCACTGGGATGTCGTGTCGCACCCAGGCAACCGAGTTATGACGTGCATACAATAACACAATTTAGGTATTGTAAAGGTTACAGTGTTGTGATAGCAACAGTTGCCATTCAGAGTACTAGTTAGTTACTGTGTTATGGCTGTAAACTACTACACCCTTGGTTATAGTATTGAAGCTCGTGTAATTAAAGAAGCTCTAGGACTGGATGTGTACTGTAGCTTTTTGTCTTGTAAATTACTCATGTTTTAGAATCTAATTATTAATCTAAATATCTCGTCCTCATTATCAGCTTCTGTCTTCGTCTTCGTCCTCGTCCTAGTCTCCGTCTTCGTCTTCGTCCTAGTCGTCGTCCTCGTCTCCGTCCTCGTCCGTGACATAGTGTATCCCAACACCGAAATCATAGAAAACTCAACAACCAAACCCTTCATCAATTACTTCCATTAAGCATCACCTGACTCATCTCTGAACTCCATAATTTCAACACTATGTACTGATAGACAGGTCATGTGACCTGGCTAGCTTAGTTTACATGAGTAGGTGGAATAGTTTGCCTTGACTCACCCCCTCACCTATGAATCTCTACACAGAGTTCATCCAGCATTCAAGGTAGTCATACTAGGTTTGTCCACCAGATCCTTTGAAAGAAAACGGCAACAATGCCTTTATGAATCCATCTGCATAAAATCTGTTACCCCACTTTGACTCTCGATGATGCAGGTGTCAATGTACAACTTTCTTCGGCCTGGAGAATGCGCAAGGATCGCACAGTGCGATTATATCGAGATTGGTATCTATTTTGCGACATTTATGAGATACACCATGCCTTGTTTTTTTTGGTTGCTGTACATTTGGGAAGCTGACATGTCCTAGACGACGGTTGAGAACTTCGAAAGTGACAGGGTTTTCATGAATTGTTGCAGGAAATGTTGAGTTTATTTCAGTCTTGTCAGAGAAAACTTGATGATCCTCATTGCGAAAGGCACCGTTGTGTTTGTGTCGCTCGACCTGAGATGGGGGCACTTTAGAAGCCCTTTGTTGACTTCTCAGGAAATTATTGTAGGTATGAGTTGACCTTCTCAAAATTCCCACGCGACCCATTTGGGAGAGATTTGTATTCAAATCCAGGAAATAAGAGTTATCGGCTGTTGTACAATTCGAAGAAGTCAAGAGTGGCGAAAAAAGTGCTGTCTGAACGCGGTCATTGTTGTGAAAGTGTACACTGTGTGACAGAGATATGTATTGAAGATATTATTGTTGATAAATAATGTAGCTCATATATGATACTGTCTAACTAATGTGTAGTGAAAAGTGTTATGTACATGCTTTTGTCAAACAGACCCATTACGCAAACGCCAAGGCTATGAACACGTGATTCAGATTCATAACACTCCCCCTCATTGTGTGCAGTGTTAAGTAATATATGGAAAACTAGAATTTCTACAATCATTCAATTCGAACTGTTGATACGGGTTTGGTAAGAGAGTCAGCTTGTTGTTTACCTGTCGGTATATAATGTACATCTATTAGCCCACAATGATATTGCTGTCGGCAATAGTGGTTCCGAAAGTTTACATGACGTGAGCGTTTGTGATTGTCATGGTTCTTTGTTAATGAAATGGCAGCCTGATTATCTTCGAAAATACTAGTGCAATTTGATCCTCTTATTTGCTCACTGAGTCCGATTTCTTCGAGAATATTGCGAGTCCATGTAACTTGTCGTGTGGTCTCAGTGAGTGCAAGGTATTCAGCTTCCGTGCTAGACAACACAACCTCTTGCTGTAGATGAGATCTCCAATAAATTGGACCTCCAAGTCATATAAGAGATCCAGTTGTTGAGCGTGCTGTGGAGGGATCCCCTGCAAAGTCTGAGTCCGAGAATGCCTCTAGAACAGGACTTTGATCTTTGGTGAAGATAAGACCGGAGTCAGGATCTTTGGAGATATATCTTAGTACGTGCCTCGCAGCGGTTAGGTGCTCTTCCGATGGATTTGTAAGAAATCGGGATAGGTGATTTGTCGCAAATGATATATCTGGACGTGTTTGATTTGATAAGTACTGAAGACCTCCCACAATCTGATTGAAAATTGTTACGAGCTCAGCCGAAATTGGCTCATATGATGGTTCCATTTCTCGTTCCATGGGAGTAGCCGCTGGCTTGCAGTCAGCAAGTCCATGTCTCGATAGTAACTCACGCGCATATGAACCTTGAGAAAGCTTCAGATTTTCCCCCTCGTGACTGACAAATATTCCCAGGAACTGATCACTTGTGACAATCTTAAAATCAAACTTTTTCTTTAGAGTGTTACGGCACGTCAAGGAGGTTGTATAAGCTATTATATTGCTATCAAGAGGTACACTTGTAAAGGCAATAAAAGACGAAGAGAGGAGGTAGCTACTCTCGACCCTCCCTAAGATATCTCCCTCGGCTGTGCTCAGTTATCCAACGTGATGCTAAGGCGCACTAACCCGTATCCCCACACGCACGCAATACGGCTCTCACGGATCGTGTAAGGATTCTCCTTCCCATCCTATCTTTAGTATATAATTTTACCCTTCTCCTGATGTTGCTATGACAACAGAACAGTTCTTGGCATTGGTTATTGTGTTGGCACTAGTTTAGGGCCTATGTTATGATGAGCTAGTGGGAGGAAAGCAAGTATATGTATGATGGCTTAGCCTGTATCTATAGAGTTCTTCACGCTTAGTCTTCTGTCATAACCACCACCTTCGGATCACCTCTGGTCACCTATAGTCACCTCTAGTTACCTTTAGCACCTTTAGCCACCACTAGTATTTGCTCGTATCTTTAGACTCTTTAGACACTTATATTACCCATTTTTAAACCTTTAGTTGTCCAAATTATCTCCAGTAGATCTTTAGTCATCCCTCGCAATCCATCCGACCTCTTCTCGCCCTTCTATTCCACTTCAGGTCAAACGCCAACGCTCCAATTTGACAGATCGTGACATTACCCCCCCCTCCTGAAGAACTGCGACCGCGCAGTTGCAGTCATAGCGTGATTGTCTTCCAATTCGGAGTAGTCGTTGATACCATTGTTGTACGCCTCTAGCCACTTCGGGAGTAGTCTAGGTGGTCCCCTGGCTGTTGTGTAGCGTATATGGAATCTCTTGATCATATGAGTTGCTGTCATAGCGTTGGAGCAGGGGTACCATTCGAGGTCTTCGTCAGCGCCCTTCCATCGAATCTGGTACTGGAGAGTGTTGCGATAGACTCGGGAGCTTAATATCCCCTCAATTTCCCATTCGTCTTGCTCAGGGAGTAGTTGAATTGGTGCTGGGGCTTGTCGAACCTGTCCTGGTAGTGGGTCCTGTACGAACTTCCGCAGCAAATGGGAGTGAAATACAGGATGGATTTTCCATTCTTCCGGTAACTTCAACTCCCAGCTCTCCCCAACCTTCTTTAGTACTTCAACAGGGCCATACCACTTGTCTGAAAGCTTACGTGAAGGTCTGCTCATTTTCCAGTTTGCGGTAGAGACTAGAACCATGTCTCCAACTTCCCAATCGACTTCCCGACGGCTACGATTAGCTAACCGCTCCATCTTCTCCTGTTGAATCTTAAGCGAGGATTTAGCGAATTCCATTGCATCCTTCATACGAGTTGCTACGCAGAGAGCATCTTCTCGATTCAAGGTCTCCGTGGCAGTAGCGGGAGGCTCAGGGTTATGTGAGTCCCACGATGCCCGCGCCTTGTAGCTATTGAGTAGTTGGAATGGTGACAAGTTGCCAAGAGATTCGTGAGGTAGCGTAAGCTGAGCAATATCCATAATCGGTGAGAGAGAGCTCCAATTGTCTTGGTAGTAGGTACAGAATGGACGAAGTCTCTGCTTGATATACTGATTCATGACTTCCGTCTGGCCATCGACGTTGGGGTTATATGATGTAGTCAACTTGACCTTGGTGCCGAGAATACGACAATATTCGTTCCAGAAACTTGATACAAACTGAGGTCCGCGGTCGGAGACT